ATCCCCCAAATACAACAGACCCCCAGACATAAAGAGCTCCCTAAATGCATGTAGACACCTGACTCATACAGATCCCCCAACAACATGCAGATGCCAAGATATATTCAGACTCTCCCAAACACAGACCCCTAAAATCCATGCTGGTCCCCTAGGACATGGACACAGGTGGGCTTTCCCACCTCTTCTTTAAGCAGGGGGCTGAGGTCTGAGGGTAGGGGTTCTGAACCCCAAAATCCAAGAACATTCAAGCTAGAGAAGGCCATGGGACCCTGGAGCACAGATGTACTCATAGGAAAACTGAGACCCAGTTGGGGACACCCAAGACCCCTTCCCTGGACCACTCCTGCTGGAGGGGCAGGAACCCGCAGTAAGCAGGACTTACACTGTGCCCCAGGAGCCCAGTGTGGCCATCCACTGAGAAGTCACAGCTGGGGCTGTGGGGCCAGTCAGTACAGCTTTCAAACTCTTTTTTTCCCCCTTCTGTGTAGAGGATTTATTTATTTAGTTATCTATCTATCTATCTATCTATCTGCGGTGGTGGGAATGGAACCCAGGATCGTGTGCAGGCTAGGCAAGCACTCTACCACTGAGCTATGGCTCTAGCCCTGTGCTGGGGACCAAACCCAGGATCTCTTGCATGCAGAACACAACCCTAGCCCAAGGTTCCAATCCTGATTTTACCATATGCTCATTTTTTTTTTTTATTCTTTTGGAGCCTTGGTTTCCCCATGTGTACACTAGGCCCCTGCACACTTCCCAAGCACCCATCCACCTCTCCCCCAACCTCAGCTGACCTTCTGCCCCTTTTGGGGCACATGACACACCGGCCCCAAACAGATCTGCCACATTCCCATCACTTTCCCTTTGCCCAGGTCTCTTAACACCATTTTCAGCCCTATCCAGGCACAGCCGACATGACCTACAGAAATCCCTCCTCCTAAAAGCACCCTCTTCCCCAGGTGGGATTCACCTAAACCTGCAGCACTTCACCCTACAGGACTTCCCATCCCCACCTCCCGTGGTGCTGGGGATGGAATCCAGGGCCTTGAATATGCTAGGCAAGCATATGCAATATGCCCAGCCCTTTTTGTTTTATTTTGAGACAGGGTCTGGCTCAGTTGCCCAGGCTGGCATCAAACTTGTGATCCTCCTGCCTCATCCTTCCGAGCAGCTGGAATTATACGTCTGATTGTATTCCTTGGTGCTTTCTTTGACCAGCATCTTGCCACAATAGCATGTCCTACTCTGTGAGGGCGGGATGGAGCCTCCCCAATCCCTGGCCCACTGTAGATCCCCCATCACTCTTCTTGGAATGAATGAGCAACAACTGTTTAACAAACAGAAGACACTGGTAACTTGTTCAGCTTTTGTGGTGCTGGGGATGGAACCCAGGTCCTTGCCCTAGCTAGGCAAGAGCTCTACCACTGAGCTGCACCCCTAGCCCTCAGTTTCCTTCCTTCCTTCCTTCCTTCCTAACTACCTACCTACCTTCCTTAAGGGGCACTTAACCACTGAGCCACATCCCCAGCCCTTTTTATATTTTATTTAGAGACAGGGTCTCGCTGAGTTGCTCAGGGCCTTGATAAACTTCTGAGGCTGGTTCTGAACTCGTGACCCTCCTGCCTCAGCCTCCCAAGCCGCTCAGTTTTCTTTTAAACACTTCATGGCCCACAAAACAAACTGAAGGCCCCATATGGCCTGTGGGCCACAAGTTTGAGACCCCTGCTCTGAAAAGTTTTCACAGTACAACAGCCAACTAGATAGGCCAAGCAACTGACCCTCTGGAGGTCCCACTACTCAGCTTGAGTGGAAACCACATCCGGAAGTCACCCAACACAAACCTGGCCTGCCACAGGCATGCTCACCTGCCAAGAAGGCCTGTCCTTCATCAAGGTCACTGAAAACTGAGGATCCTCCCATCCCATCTTACCTTCCTGAGGATCCAGGAGAGACACCACGCTTAGCCTGACCCTGCTGTCCCACAGCCAAGCCACCAAAGGCCCCCAGCAATGTCCCCTGAGCCTCAGTGGCGGCTGCAGGGACAGCCCAAGATTTCCCTCTCTTTGTTCCAGAGAAAGATCTCCCTGTGGGGCCCCAGAAATTCATCCCCAGAGGCCCAGGCCTCCCTGCTTGGGAAATTAGCACATCTGTCAGTGCTGGGCTAGGCGGAAGGGATCCTGCCCACAGCCTGGCAGCCCTAAGATGCAGCCAGCTGGAACCCTGGGATGTGACTTTGGGGCATCCCCAGTCCCTTACTGTCTACCCCCAGAAATGTCAGGGACACAGGAACAGGGGGTAGACAGAGCTGGGCTCCCCATCAACTGGTACAGTAGGGGAGGCAATGACAGATATGTAACCGTGCCTGGGGGACGGCTGGCCCAGGAGAAATTCAAAAGGGAGGGTCTGTGGCAAGTGGCAGGGAAGGGAGCTGCTTTGGACAGAGGGTCCAGAAGGGCCTTTCTGAGAAGTGGCCTTACCATGTAGGGATGTGGGGACAACCTGCCTGGCTGATAGAATTATCACACTGCAAAGGCCCTAAGGTGGGAATGTGCTGGGCAGGTTTCAGGAGCAGGCGAGGTTGGTTTGTCTGGGGTGAGGTGAAGCTGAGACAGCTGGAGACAGAGGCTGGGGGGAAGGGGGGGCAGGGTGATGGACAGCACTGCAGAACAACAGGGAGTTTTCTTTTTTTTGGGGGGGGGGTGTACCAGGAATTGAACCCAGGGGCACTTAACCATGGAGCCACATCTCCAGCCCTTTTTTATAATTTATTTAGAGACAGGGTTTTGCTGAGTTGCTTAAGGCCTTACTAAGTTGCTGAGGCTGGGTTTGAACTTGTGATCCTCCTTCCTCAGCCTCCCAAGTCACTGGGATGACAGGCATGCCCCACCTCACCTGGCAGCAATAGGGAGTTATGGAAGGTGTGTGAGCAGGTGAGGGCTGTGGTCTGATTCAAGATTTTTCCGAAGACCTCATGGCTGTCATGGGGAGGAGGTCAGGATAGCATCCAGCAGATGGTGGGCCAGGCAGGCTGCAGACCACAGAAGTGGATGCGGTGTGCCTGTGTCAACAGCAGTGGGGACTCCTGATTTCACCCCACTGCAATTGCTCCCTTCTCAGGCCTCTACCTTGACTTTGGGAACTTGGACCTGGAGGAGAACAGCTCCTAGCAAAGGATGGAGTGAGGATAGGCCAGGATGGCGCTCTTAGGCACCTCTGCTTGGTCACAGATCAGATGGCACCTCCTATGATTGAGCACCTACTCTAGGCGCAGGCCCATACTCCACCTCATTTACACACGGGACCTGCCTGACCCACAAATGGCCCAGTGAAGCGAAGCCAGTGCCCCTTCTTTATACCAGAAAAGGTGAGATTTTTTTCTGGAGCCCACATGGTAAGAGCCCCCAGGTCCGCAATCAAGCCTGGGCCCAAGGGCCAAACTGACACACCCCAACTCATAGCCCCTGCCCAGTCTTGGAAGCAGAACTGAATGTTCAACCCAGAATCACCATGGGGGTGCCTAGACACTCATTCTTACACCTCAGGGGTATCAGGACATTTGCACAGGTCTTACAGACATAGACACAGGGAGGTCGTTTTGTGGGGCAGAGAAATGGGAATCTCTGTGAGGATTCACAGGCTAGGGTAGAGTGAGCTCCCAAACCCCCTAAAGGGATCTATCTATCTCCAGGTACATAAATGCTTCAAATCTTCCAGAAGACTGATTCCCCCCAACTTGTCTAAATTCATTGCCTCCAATTATTTTAATTCCTTTTCTTCTCTTAATTTTCATTTTCCAGATGTCCACTGGTTGGTTATGATTTAAGCAAATAAATCACTAGTTGAAGATGGGAAGCCAAATTCAGGGTCCCTCGCCTTTGGTTTTGTTCTTTCAGAGGGCTAAGGAGTAGACTGAGCCCAATCCTTTCTCCAAAAGGCGTGGGTATATCTACCTGTTTGAGTCCCCCATCTCAAAAACAAAAACAAACAAACAACAACAACAAAAAACCCAGCTTCCAGCTCTTGAAGGTGAAATTTCTAAAGCCACCCCAAATTCTGTTCTATGGAGGCCAAATTTGGCTTCACACTTCATATAAGTAGCAAGTGACAGGCCTGGGTCAGGAGAACAAGGCTGCCATTTCAGGAAGCCCTCTGACCTCTGGAATCAAACCTCAAACACTGGTCCTTCAAAGTTTAAGTACTTTTTGAACCCAAGTTCCTTCACTCCATGAGTCTTGTCCCCATATGCTCAGGGTCCACAGGTCCTGACTGTCCTCAGAGAGGATTCTCTGTGAGGCCAGGCATGAGGCCTCAGTTATGTCTGCCTTCTCCAGTCTGGCTGGGCCTGGGGTGGCCAGGGACCTGGGTTGCCAACATCTGCAGCCCTGAACCCTGAAAGAGGCAGTGAGGGGAGACCATGACTGTGAAGTAATGCTGCCACCAGCTTGTCATGTGCTGACAACCTCAGAAGACTGTGACTCTTCTTCCTGTACCATTGTCTTGAAGCACAGGGAAGAAGATGGCCCACAGGCAGCTGTGGTCCCACGTTCTAGGGCTCTGTGCCCATGTTCTCACTGTGACACAGGAGAGCACATCAGTGTACAGTTGTGCAAAGGGGTCTTGCTGATGCCAAATGTGCACACCCAGAGAGGGGCACAGTGCATCTCAGATATAGAGTCGTAGACACATAACAGGGACTCAGGCTGTCACAGTTTGCCCTCAATTCAAATCTCCCCAACTCACATCAAAACCTGACACATGCCCCTTGGACACACAAACTCTCAGAAACACAACCTCTCAGGCACACAACTCAGAAACAACCTTCAGACCCGTGCTCAGGGATTCATACCCTCTCTGAGTGCACTCCTTGAACATACACACACATACGCAAACCTTCGGAGGCACAGCAGCGCACCCGACCTCCAAACCCAGCCCAAAGCACAGAAGCCATTCAAAGGACTGCGCGCGAGTCTTGACCCGATCAGACGCGACCCGACACCCACCTGCTCCGTCCCAGGAATCGGCTCCCAGACCCGCTGCTGCCACACACAGATCCAGGCGCCGGCGGCCACAGGTACCTTCCCAGTGGGCGGCCCCGCCCCTGGGAGACGATTGGGCGGGGAAAAATCATTTGCATAGAGGGCGTCACCGTGGTGCTGCGGTGGGCGGACATTTGGGCGTGGCCCCGCCCCGAGAGTTCTAAGGCGGGGAATCGGAAGGCTCTAAGTTCGCTGGCAAATTAAGAGGGGAAAGAGAGGACTGGAAGTGTAGCTCAGTGACAGACTACTGCTTAGCCTACTGCTTAGCCTGCGTATGGCCCTGGGTTCCACCCCAGCAACACACACACACACACACACACACACACACACACACACACGGCGCAGGGGTCTAGCGAGACCTGCCAGGCCTCCCTGGCCCTTGCTGGGTGCCTCTGACCTTACTGTAGACCCCTGATCCTAACTTAACCTTGATTTGGATCCTTTCCCTAACTCAGACAAGCTTGGACTCGTTCCATCAGGAATGAAATATAACTTGGATCCCGGATCCTGTTGGCCCCAGGGACCCAGCTGACTCCCTCTCATACAGATGCAGGAACTGCATCAAGGGGCTGTGGAGTCACCTATGTGGCCTAACCCAGTTGTGCCTCCTGCCTCCAGACTTGTGAGTCTGGGTGCCTCCACAGGACGGTGACAGACCCTCTGCTGCTGATCCCATGATCCCACGTCTCCTTTCTTCCCACAGTCCCAAGAATATCCTATTTCTTCCATCATCCATGTTCCTGTCCTTCCCACTCCCCTCTGCCTGCTGTTTCCACTTCAAAAGTCAGCTCTGGTGGGCCTTGTAAAACTGGACCCTAGCCCAGACCTCTCAATCTTCCCCTGGGGGCCCAGGACCACAGGGCCAGACCTAGAGAATGGAGGGGGGGTTGTGAGTGAATTGAAGTGGAAAGAATTACGGAGTCCAGGGTCAGGGATGAAGATAATTCTAGACAGGAGAATTCTGGGGAAGTCCCCAATCTGAGGAAGACAGAGTGCCTACTTCCCCGTCCCTGTGTGGTCAACTTTTCCAATAGGAAGAGTTGGGACACTGGGACAGATGAGAGTTAGGGGCAAGGGCTGTGCCAGAGGGGTCAAGGATGGCTTTCCAGAAGATGGGGTATTTATACTGGGCTTTCAGGTATGAGTAGGAGCATGCCACTGGGCAAAGGAGTTTTCAAGAGAAAACAGCACTTGCAAAGGTGCAGAGGAAGAGCACAGAACATTCTTTGACAGGGTCAAGGGTCAGGGTGAGAGGAGAGAGATGAAGCAGTAGGAACAGGTTGGGGTAGAACCCAGGCAGGGGCTTGGAAATGAAGAGGAGGGGATCCACTTGGGGGTAGATACCAGGGGAGAGCAGATTTCAACGGCTGCCTAGTGTCCACCTTCTCAGGAGACAATGAGATGTGGCTGAACACCTGGACTCAGGGGGAAGCATATGGAATATGTCCGGGTGTGGGGAACACTGAGGCAGGGAACAGAGGGGGACTTGGGTGGCTCGTGCCTCTCCTCACACCTCAGTTTACCTGTCTGTGACATGGGAAGTTTGGACCTCTAGTCTGGTCACAAACTTCTCTTTGGACATAAAAACTAGGATTCATGCTGTACCATAAGTGGGTCCCTTGCTCCCACCCAGTACACAATACTACACCCTCAGGTGTCCCGAATATACACCAGGGCTCAGGTCCGGCTGGGGGCTTCAGCCTCAGCTTCAAGGTACAGAACAAGGCTTGGGGAGCATGGAGGTGGCTGGGGAGCCCCAGGCCCCCCAAGGAATGCTCTGTTTACCCGTGGCTGCCCGCCTGCCTCTGATGCAACAGGCAGGCTCTGGTTACGTGAGGGTGGCAGCTGGAGCAGCTCTGGGAGCAGCCGGGGCGTGGTAGAAAGGGCTGGTGGTGGAGCTGAGGCCAGCTGGTTGGAGCTGCTCCCCTGCGCCGTGCCCCTGCCCCTGCCCCTGCCCCCTGCCCCTGCCCAGTACTAGGACTCTCTTCCCTGTCCCTGCCCCCTCCTCCCCCACCTTGCCCCCTTCCACTATTCGGGCTCCCACGCCCCCTTCCTATTCTGGTCAGTTTTTTATCCCATCATTCACGATCTTTCTCCCACAATGCTCCCTCCTTACTGCCTTTGCCCTTATTCCTGCCCAGTCCCTTCTCTCATCACTACTCTGTCCACAAGCAAGGCACTGAGTCTCCACTTCAGCCTTCTTAGATGACGGACACCCTGAGTTGTCTGAGTATGAAGTTGGAGGAGAAGGGAGAGAAGGGCCAGCGGGGAGGTCCAGGGAGGGGATCCTGGGAGATGAGGGGGGCCGCCTGGGTGAAGGAAGAGGCTGGGGGAAATGGAGAGCCATGCCCCGCTTTCCCCTTCCAGAATGTCAGCACAGGAAGACTTTGAAGGACTTTCCATGACAAGGACATTGTGGGAAGGCGCTGGGGTTAGAGAACCCTGCCTCCCTGTTCCAGCTTTGCTGTATACCTGCTGTGTGACTTCAGATCAGTCACTTCACCCCTATGAGCTTTTTTGCTCATGTAAAAAGTGTAGACCATAGCCGCCCCTCCTCCTGGAGGAGCCAAACATTTCAAGGTCCACCTACAAAGTCCCCTCCTCCAAAAGCCATCCGTGTGCTTCCTCAGTCTGGGGTTCTCCACCCCCACACTCTCACCTAGCCCAGCACTGACAGCGGGTGGGGCTGCACGTTCAACTCTGTCTCCCTCAGTGTGTGGGCTCCTCAGGGCCAGGCCCAGTGCATGGCAGCCCCGAAGGTAGGTCTTCACGGGTCTCCTGAAATACTACAGAGCCCCAGAGAAGGTCTGAGGGGTGGGGGTGAGGATGGGAAGCAAACTTGGGGCCATGTTGGGGGAGACAACAGGGCTAGGAAGGGGCTTCCCAGGGGTCTATGGCAGAGCAGGTCTGAAGTAAAAACCAGGACTTGGACCAGGTGCTAAGGCCAAAAAGACAGCTGAAGAGAAGTCTGATTCTCTTCCTGACCACAGCAGCTAGGGACAGGTGCTGCCTTCTTTGGGTCTCCTTTCAGCCCATCTACATATCTGAAGGAGCTTGGCAGGGCACCATACTTCACTTCCTGGAATCCCTTCTAGGTCTTTTCTAACCTGGTGACCGCTAGGTTTCTGCTTGAATGCCCCATGGCACGGGGGCTCCTTCCCTCTCTTCCAGCTGCCCATCCATTTCTGAGCCATCTGGGGGCAAGCAGGGCCTGGGACAAGAGGCTGTTCTTGTTCTTGATGGTGCAGGACTAGAAGAGGCCCTGCTGGGTAATCCAGTTCCTTGGAAACTCAGTTTACTCTCTTGAGAAACAGGAGCCAGAGTATAGAAGATGAAAAAGGGGGAATGGTCACAGTGTCCCCAAGACCAGCCAGGGCTGCAGATAATGTGTTTGGAGGCCAAGCTCCTGGCCTAGGTTTTGTCTTTTGCGCCCCCTGGCGGCGGACGGGGGTGCCCCCAGAGGAGAGGCCGAAGTGTGAATGAGATGCATATTAAGCAGGACTCCCATGGGCTCTCAGAACCCCCTTGAAAGGAGCAAACTCTTAGCTGCTGGCTGAAGTCGGGGGCTGTAAGTGACATGGCGCCCTGGGAGAGTCTAGAACACTCCATGACTGCTCCCCCAGTCTGGGATATGTGCAATTATCTTAGCTGTCTCCTGTCCCATGGGTTGTGATCTTGCTGTCCGTGTTGGCCTGCCTAGCTCTGGAGCATCCCCGGGCTCATGGAGTGGGGATAATGTTTGCTGGATAAATGGGTACATGGAGGACAGATGAAAAGACAGTTGGATGACGTTGAGATACCTTCAGGCCAAGCAAATGACTCTAACTGTAGAGACCCCACAGCAAGCAGGGCCCCAAATCTGGTGGACCTGAGACTCCCCTCTCCCCCAGAGTCATTTACAATGGGGAGGCAAGATGGCAGCACAGAAGCCTCCCGGTACACACTAGGAGGGCAGAGGGAGGGCTGAGCCCTGCTTCCTGGCGGTGGGAGACTCATTTCTCCACACTTCCTGTATTCCAGATCCCCTTCACAAGGCCCAGTGTCCCAATAGGAGCCATTCTCTCCTTAGGAGCCTCTGGGCCTCATCACCCCTCCCCCCTCACTGCCAAGCTGGGGAGTGTGCTTGAGATGCAGCCTGGCTACCCCAACAATTTATTCTGATCTTCCTGATACATTTTATTGCAACAAATAATTTAAGGGCTAACATTTGCACACAATTGGCCTTGGAGGTGTACATACTGAGAACATGTGACACTGAAATTCACAGGACTCAGTGCTGGCTCTTCTGGACTTAGCTGCAGGAATACATCAAAGTAATTTTGGCAAAAGGGTAATTGAAGGGTTCATGAAACTGAAGAATTGAAATGTGTTAACTTCAGGTACAGCTGGATCCAGGGCCCCATGAAATATTCTTAAGTGTCCCTCCCTCCATCTACCTATCCCGATAGAAGAAGCACAGGTCCTTCCCAAGCTTCCAGTAAAATTCCAAGAAGCCCTCCAATTAGGTCACATTTATTTCCTGCTTTCCATTCTCCTCTTCTTCCCTCTCTCAGCCTATAGAACATGCTCAGTACAGCTTTCCTTGTCCAGATGGAGAAAGGGAGAACTAGAGAGGGCCAGCACCAGGCCCCATATCACCCAGCATGTCAGGGGCAGGGCTAAGACCAAACTAGGAGGCTTAAGAGCCCAGGTCTGCTCTCAAACTGCATGACCTGACACAAATCACACCATCTCTTGGAGCCTCTCATTTCTCATCTGTATTTGGGGGTGCTACCTGCCTAAAGGGGTTGTCTGAGAATGAAAAGAGATAACCCATGAGGAACATACCACACACAGTGGGTACACAATCAGGATTATCACGGGGGCAATTATTGATCCAAGAGCAGGTAAGAGCATAGGAAGAAAAGGCATGTCTTGGGATGATTTTAGCTGGGCTTAGAGGTTTCGGCAGGAACAGGTCTGTGTTGGCCCCACTGGCTTTGTCTTTAATCCCTCTGGGTTGCACAAGGTGGTACCCAGGGGCCCAGCTCTGGTCAGGTTAGGCAGTGAGGAAGGAGTCTGAGAGGTATAGAGTTGTCCCATGAGGAGCCTGGGCTGAGGACCATGTGGAGGGGTCAGAGGGTCTGGGTGTGAATCTTGGTGCTTCTGGGCATGGGCCTCCACCCTGGGCTGGCTCGCTTCTCTGAGCCTCGGTTTTCTCTTCTGTAAAATGAGATGATATTGAGGGTCATGGGACAGGAGAAGCAGGGGATGATTGATCTGTGAAGGTCTTTGAAGATCCTGGCAGGAGCAGCTTTGGGGAAAAGTGGAGGTGGAAGGCTCTGAGAGAAGGGAGCCAGTGGAGAAGAAAAAAGAGGTCTGAAGGGACAAAGGTGAGACCAGAAGATTGTACACAGTGGGATTTCAGTAGCAAAGGAAACAGGAGATGACACAGGAAAGGGAAGGGCAACAGGACAGTGTCCTTTATCAAGGGAGAGGGAGGAACCTGTGGGTGGGGATGTGATGGGGTGATGGGAGTGGACGGTTGGAGGTGGGAGGTAGAGGATGGGTGTGGCCTAGAGCTGGCACAAAATGCTGTGGGGGGCACTGGGGCAGCTGCTAACCCCTCAGGCAGCCTTTCCTGCTCAGGCCTTCCCAGATGGCCCCTAGGCAACCCCCAATCCATGATTCCTCATATTTCCCTGGCCAACAGCCAAGCCTATGAGCAAGCACTTAGTAAGGACTCACTGGCTGACTGAAGTGCCCAATAAGTGCAGAGTGTGGTGCCCAGAGAGTGCTCTCTGGACACAGGTGACCTCCATGGCCTCTTGGCTCTGGGTGCTGCAGCTGAGGGTGTGGGGCCTGTCTCAACTTGCTTTCCCTCAGCCTTTAAGAAGGCCTCATGGCACAGAGGATAATCCCAGCACCTGGCCAACAGGTCCTCTGGATGCCTTGAATCTGCCATGTCTGCCCTCCGTGGGCACAGAACACATTGGTCTTCCTCAGGGATACTCTCCAGGCAAGGTCGCTTCATCTTCCAGGATCCACCATCACCTGGGCAGCCCTCCCTACAAGACCCTGGGCTTGCTCACATCACTGAGCAGTGGGATACCACAACTGTGAAGCACAGGGGGGTGGGGTGAGTGCTGCCTGCCTAGCACTTGGTCACCAGGAGCCCAGATGGCCTGCTGGAGAGGCCACAGGGAGCCTGGACCCCACAGCCAACACTCCAGTCAACACCTAACTGTAGCAGTTGAACTCCAATGAGTGTCCCCAGGAAATGGCCAGCAGAACTGCTCAGCCAAGTAACAGAATAGCATGTTTCTGTAACTATGTTTCTACTACCAGTTTTACAGGGTGTTCAGTTTGGGAATTGTTTGTCATGTACAATAGCTAAGTGCTACAACACTCACCTGTTGTAGCCTGTGCCCTTGTAGTCACCTAATAGGTAACCTTTATAGAAGGAAAAAATAAAGACCAGGGATGGAGGGAACAGCAGGCGGGTGGTGCAGGGAGGATTCAGAGCTGTGGATATTGGCCCAGCAGGGCTCAGCCTGAGAATGTGTACATGAAGCAATCACGGGGCCTGGCAGGAGAGAGGAAATGTGGGATCCCTTCTGAGCTTTAGAGTGGGGGGACCTCTGAGATCAGGACAAGGCCTGGATAAGAGGCAGGAAGATGGCAGAGAGAGGAAGATGAACTAAGAAGGTCCCTGAATAGCAGAGGCCCTGCAGACACTCGGTCTGCAAATGTCTCCTCCCCACTCTCTGAAGCCACCCAACAAGCCCAGTGAGAAGGCCCAGGGGGTTAGACAAGCAGGTCCCTGCTCAGATGCCAAGTGGGCAGGTTAGTTTAGAGCAGAAAAGCTCAAAGCCACCCTTGGCACTGACCTGGGTTGGGGGAGGACAGGGGCCTTCAGGATTCTTCCAGAATCAGGCTGAGGAGGGCGGGGGCAGTTCCTCGGGGCTGGAATAAAACATGTGAGGCCCAAGTCAGAGGCCATGAGGCTACTTAGCTGGGCTGGGGTTTGAGTTTACATCACACTCTGGTCCCTCAAGACTCCTGGCCTAGGCCCTCAGGGCATACATGGGACCATTGCCCACTTCAGACGCAAAGGCTGGACTCACCCATGGGGGACTGAGTGTGTCACACTCAGCACTTGCAGAGAGAGGTGTGAATGGCACCTTACCATGTCTTTCAGAAGCACAAGCACTTTCGTAAAGCAGCACAAGTGGGGTACTGGAAAGCATTTTGAAATCCAGCAGCTGGTTTTGGCTTTTGAGTGAACTCTAGTTCCAATTGCCAACACCAATCCAGCCTCATCTTTGCTGAAGAGCCAGCTCCGTCCCTCTCCTCCACCCTTGAAGGGAGGAAGGGGGCACACCCACGACATACATGCACAAGGCTTTTTGTTCTCAACAATTCTCATGTCTTAGTTATGAGAAACAGCAGATTTTTTTTTTTCTTTCTAAATGTCTGGTATGTGTGGGGGCGTAAGTATATCAATCTCCAACCTGCAGAAGCCAAATGCATCCCAAGGTCGAAGTCCAGCTTATGGCCCAGGCACATGTGTTCAAATGTGTGTTTATTAAGTTATAATGAACATCAAAAACAATAAGAACTACTTTCAGCTCCCAAAACTCCCCCCAGTATTCAAGGACTGTGCTTTTCATTTTCGACTGTCTGGGCCTCGGCTCAAAGGCTCCCTCTGCTCGACTATAGCCTGGGTAGGAGGAGGACCCTGCCCACCTCTCTACCTTGCTCACTTACTCCAGCCCCCTGCCTCTTCGATGTTTCCCTAGCATGCCCAGTTCCAAGGTCTTCGCACTCCCCACTCCCCACACTACCATCCCCCAGGCACCTCTGCTTGTGTTACCTAGTCCACCTCCTCCTGAGCCCCAAGTCCCTTTGCTTCCTTCAAAGCACTGAAGAATGCTCTCATCCATTATGTGTATACTTGGTTGCTGTGAGTCCACCTGTCTTGGTCACCACTGTGTCCCTAGTACCCAGCTCTGAACTGGGCACATAGCAAAGCTCAAGATGTAGGTGCTACAGATGCCAAAGAACAAGCAGAAGTCCCAGACACGGTGAGATAAGGAAAGGGAGTTTTGTAAAGAGCAAGAAGTGGCAGTTCCTGGCTGAGCTGGCAGATGGTTCTTATAGAGATGAGGCTGAGGGTGGCAACTGGGTAGGTGGTCCCAGGAGCTACCTGTGGCCCTGGGCAGTGGCATTCATGTGGTCTCGGATGCTGATGGCCTGTTTGAGCAGACCTTCGACGCTACGGAAGTAGACACTGCTGTCAACCAGGTTCTTGACGGCACTGAAATGGGAAGACAAGCCTGATCAGCTCTGCATGCATGCCAGTGTCCCACATGCCCCAACACTGGAGAAGGCCACTGCCATGTGCTCGGAGGAGGCCGTGGGTGGATCCAGAGCTCAGTGGGTACCTTGGTGATTCCCTGGACCTCCCTCAGGATTCAGATGTTGGATTTCTGTGCTACACACGAATACCACTGTGACAGAGCACATAATGGCAAGACACAACTTTCATTTTACCTGTAAAACTAAAGTTTTAAAGGTGGTATAAACATGTAAAGTTAGCCTCAAAAATATCCCAGTAGGGCTGAGGGCTGCAGCTCAATGGTAGATAGAGTTCATGCCTAGAATACCTCAGGCACCAGGTTCCATCCCTAGCACCATAGAAAACAATGACAAAAGACATCACTTTCTTTTTAAGAAACATGCTCCTGCCTTTGAAGGACACTTATCAGCTCAGCAGGGAGAAGATATAAAGGTGAGTTTAGACTGAATCACAAATAAGCCACCATCAATTAGGGATGCTGACTACAAAGCTTCACTAAGTTCTGGCATTGGTGTCACAACTGATAAATGAACACCCTTCCCAAGGACACCAGAGAAAAACATTTACAAAGTTGTTCAGTGTCTTGCTGTGCCAAAAAGTTGCTTGAGTGGCATCATCTGCAGAAAAAAACAAAAGTGTCATTTTATTTTTATTTCTGTGGTGTTGGGGATGGAACCCAGGGCCTTGTGCATGTGAGGCAAGCACTCTACCACTGAGCTACACTCCCAGTCCCAAAGAGTCATTTTAAATTTCTCCTATTAAAAAACAAAACAAAACAAAAAAGAGAGCCGGGGATCACTTTGACCTGTGAAAGAGAGGGGCTCAGTGTGCACAGGTCTGGCTGGAATCCTTTCATGCACAAGGCCCTGGGGTCGATCCCTAGCACCACTACTGAGATAAAAAAGATCACTCCCATTTATTTATTTATATTTTTTTTTTAGAAAGAGAGAGAGAGAGAGAGAGAGAGAATTTTAATATTTATTTTTTAGTTTTTGGCGGACACAACATCTTTGTTTGTATGTGGAGCTGAGGTTCGAACCCGGGCCGCACGCATGCCAGGCAAGCGCGCTACCACTTGAGCCACATCCCCAGCCCACTCCCATTTATTATCAGTCGAGAACATGCTTGAAAATGGCAAATGAAATTGGGGTGCTGGTTGTTACCCCTGATTATGCTTATGCTAAATAGGCTGGCTTGTGGGCCAAAGTTGTAAGATGGTGGTAAAAGGTGAATCTTAACTGGCTCATCTTTTCTTGTTTTGTTTTGTAGCTGTTATGCTTTAGATGTGAAGTGTCCCCCAAAAGCTCATGTATGAAACAATGCAAGAAAGTTTAGAAGAGAAATGATCAGGTTATGAGAACCTTAACCAAATCAGTGCAGTGATACACTTGAAAGGATTAACTGGGCAGGATTAACTATAAGCATGAAGGGTGTGGCTGCAGGCAGTGGGTCACTGGGGCATGCCTTTTGGGATTTATATTTCATCCCTGGTGAGGAGAGTTCTCTCCCCCCTTTCTGGTTGCCATGTACTGGGCTGCTTTCCTCCTCCCACCTTCCTGCCATGATATTCTGCCTGACCTAGAGCCCAGAGCAATGGAGTCAGCCTTCTATGGCTTGATACCATGAGCTCCAAATAAACTGTTCCTACACTACATTGTTCTTGTCAGGACTTTCAGTCACAGCGGTTAAGAAGCTGACTAAAACAGTGATGCTGAGAATGAAATCCAGGCCCTCTCATATGCTAGTCAAGTGCTCTACCATGAAACTATAATTCCAACCTTTAATTTACTCTTTTTTTTTTTTTAATGCTGCTAGGGATTGAACCCAGAAGTGTTCTACCACTAAGCTACAGCCCCAGCCCTGCTTGTTAAATTGTCAAGGTTGGGCTCAAACTCCTGAACCACTGGAATTATAGGTACGTGCCACTGTGCCTAGCTTAATTCACTCATCTTAATGTCATCAAATGAAGTCAGCTTTTCTTGTGTTTGATTGTCCATCTTGATAAACATCTTGCTAATACAAGTTCACCACTGAACCTTTTTCCTGAATTTCTAGACCATTTTTAACATCTTTCAATTTTATACCAACCATTTAATACTGCTGAATTGTTTGAAACAAAAGATATGGGACATGCTAGGGGTGTAGCTCAGTGGGTAGGGCACGTGCCTAGCATGTAGGAGGCCCTGGGTTCCATCATCAGCACCAAAAAAAAATGAAAAAAAAAAAAAAAATCAGGAGCTGAGGATGTGGCTCAGCGATAAAGTACCTGTTCATTAGCATTCTCAAGCCCTGGGTTCCACTCCTGGCAACAAAAATAATAACTTGACTCAGGAATTTTAATTTCTTGCCTTCCTAGCAAAATTTGGTTTGTCCATGCAGTGAATCTGTGGAATTTTCCATTTACTACAAATGTAACCTGGAGATTTAGAGAAAGCTAAAGAGCCCTATTTGTGTTTTTGGCCCACCCCCAGTTGTCATTCACTCTCTGGCCTGGCTGGGAATGGAAAATGCTGGGGGCCTTTCCCAGGATCCTTTTATCACTCTGACCTGTGAAAGACAGGGGCTCAGTGTGCACATGTGTGGCTGGAATCCACCAAATAGCCAGGTGAGTCAAGATGCAGCAACCACATCTCCATTAGGGTGAATTGGGCAGGGCAGAGCTCATGGGGTAGCAGGCTGGGAATGCCCCTGAATGCCCAGAGGCCAGAGTAGTGCAGGCTGACCAGGTAACGGGGACTGTGGCTCACCTGCAGGCGTACTCTACAGTGTAAATGGCTCCCTGGCTCTGCTCTTCCCACCGCTGCATGTCCGCCTGAGGGAGTTGAGGGGAACTGTTAGTAGGGGAGGTTACCTCCCAGAGGGCTCCTCCAAGTTGTTTCTCTACTTTCCTTTAGTGGTGTAGGGAGTAGAGCCCAGGCCCTCAAGCATGCTAGGCCAGCACTCTACCACTGAGCCACACCCCCAGTGACCAGAGACTTTTCATCCTGAAACTCCCTTTTCTCCACGGATGTTCTGGAACAACTGGACACCACACCTCAGGACCTTTGCAATGGCTGTTCCCTCCACCTGGCACACCCTTCCCTGGGGTCTTCAGTTATTATTCAGGTTATAACTAATGCAGACTGTGACGTCTCCTTGAAAACCTGCCCCAGATCTATCCACCAATGGTTTGACCTGACTCAGCTATCATATACCTCCTTGCTGGTGCCCCGACTTAATTCCTGCCCTGACAGCCCCTGTTCCACACAGCAGGCACCAGAAAGAGGCCCATTGCAGAGAGAGGCTGGTGGGGCTTACCTTGTGCTGGGCCAGCTCAGGCAAAGAGCGGCGCACATGCTCCTGCAGCCGGTACAGGGCCACAGATGGCTCGTTGGCCAGGACATAGACGCTCTCAGTGAACTTGTCCGTGACTGGGTCCAGGGTCAACAGTCAGTAGGGAGGGGGAAGGGACAAGAAGACAAAACATTAGGCTTCTGTTTGCTCAACTACTATGAGCCCAGTTAGAACAGAGAGGAGCACCTAGCATTACCCCAGAAGCTGTGTCACCTGAAGCCACAGGGATGGGCAGGAGACAGTCAGAGCAGACTGTCATACTATGAATTTGGTCTTTTCCCTTCCAAACAACCTTGTAGTTGATCTGCCCACTCAGATCCCCTCAAACTCCCCTTAACCCAATGACAAGCCTGATAATGTCGCAGGACCCAAAGGGTCTGGAAGCCTCCATCCCTGGATGGCCCTTAGTCATGACTGACCAATGCAGCATATGCAAGCCTGTGCCTGTCCCTCAGTGAGTGCTGGGACAACTTGGAGGCATATATATCCTCATAAGCCCCCCTGAAGGACCAGGCAGAGATCTCCCTCTGTGGATTTTACCTGAGGTCACCCTTAACCCCATCCTGTTTCCCCTTCTCCCTTGCACATTCCTCCTGGTAATTAATGGCACACACATCTTCTCCCAGGTCTGCTTCAACATAAGGCATTCCTAGACAGCCAGTAATTTCCACCCTTCCTATCCCATCATGAATCTGCTAGTTTTATCACAAAACAAAGCCCATGTCTCACCTGTCTCTTTTTCTATGCAGTACAGGGGAGAACCCAGGGCCTGGTGCATTCTAGGCAAGTGCTCTAATCACACCATGGACCCCAGTGAGTGACCAGGCATGACAGTTCCCTGCCCGGATGCTAGACCCACTTCCTCAGTGGTCTCCCCTACTTCTCCTCCTGCCAAGTTCAATCTCCATGTAGCAGATGAAGTGAACACCAAAGGCACATATCACATGTCTTTCCTTGCTTAAAACACTCCCCATGGCTCCTACTAGTCAGAGAATAAAATCTGTTTCTCTTATCATGGCTCATAAGGCCCCACATGTTCTGCTTCTGGGTGATGTTAACCTCCCTGCCCTGTACCTTCAGCAGTGTTCAAAAGTTTTTCTAAGATAGTGGAAACATTCTGTAATTAATACTGTCCAAAATGGTAGCCACTAGCTAATGTGGCTACTGACCACCTGAAATGTGGCAAGTGTGGCAGAGGAACTCAATTTTCAATTTTACCTAATTCTAATCACTTCAAATTTAAATACTCACATGAGACCAACAGTTACTATATCACAGCCCAGCTCTGAACAAGTTGCCACCACCGGGCCTTTGCACCTATTTTCTACTTTGAGACATCCTTTCCCTATTAGCTCCTATTTATCCCTCAAAGTCTCAGCTCAAATGTCATACCCTGGGCAAGGTTCTCCCTAACACCAACTTTCTTTTTTTTTTAATATTTTATTTTTTTAGGTGTAGATGGACACAACACAATGCCTTTATTTTTATGTGGTGCTGAGGATCCAACCCGGGTCCCGCCCATGCTAGGTGAGCACTCTACTACTGAGCCACAATCCCAGCCCCCTAACATCAACTTTCAATCACCTGTACCCTCTCCCTCATTCAAGACCTCACCCCGTTGTTCATTTCTCTTATACCTATTGTGATTTATTACTTTACATGTTCACAAGAAAAAACAAAGCTTGAATTCATGAAGCAGTCTGTTTCCTCATCCGTAAAAATTAAATAATAGTACCCATCATGGTTTGCTACAGAGGTAGATCCAATGCTGTTGCCCACTGTGACTGTCATGGTGAGAACTTAAATGTCTGAGTCAAGGGAAGCCACACAGGACTCTGATCTATGTGGGTTGGTCTAGCTCACCATTGTGTCCTGAATGGAGGGGGAAGAGGGGGAAAAGGAATTTAAAGGGTGACTGGCCTGGTCCTTCCATAACAATGTCCCTTCTGTGGTTCTAAACTCTTATGAGCATGTGCAAGGACATAATGGTAGCAGGGGGGACAAAAGGAGGTTGCTTATACAATCCCAAGTGGGCAATGCATACTTTTTCTTCAACTTGGCCCCAGGGAAAAAGAGGGTAACTTTTTCCCTTTTGTCCTCCTGGATTGAAAATTAGCATAGTAGTAATTCATAATGTATTTTTAATGAGAAAAGAGAATTATGGGGCTGGGAATGTGGCTCAAGCGGTAGCGCACTCGCCTGGCATGCGTGCGGCCCGGGTTCGATCCTCAGCACCACATACAAAAAATAAAGATGTTGTGTCTGCCGATAACTAAAAAATAAATAATAAAAAAAGAGAATTAAATGTACTTGTGTCTTCTAAATAATTAGAAGTACCTTGTGAAATAATGTTTATAATTTAAAAAGCTTGTGAGGGCTGAGGGTGTAGCTCGGCGGTAGAGTGCTTGCCTAATATTTGAAGCCTCGAATTCGATACCTAGCACCAAACATTTTTAAAATGTTTTTCAAAAATAAATGTAAGCCGGGCGCAGTGGCACACGCCTGTGATCCCAGCAGCTTGGGAGGCTGAGACAGGAAGATCGCGAGGTCAGAATCAGCCTGGATAAGGAGGAGATGCTAAGCAACTCAGTGAGACCCTGTCTCTAAATAAAATACAAAATAGGGCTGGGGGTGTGGCTCAGTGGTTGAGTGCCCCTGAGTTCAATCCCTGGTACCCCCTGCCAATAAAAAATAAGATAAAAATAAAAGTAGCTCGTGGCACTCCAACTATACGATTTAAGGACACTAACCACACAGCGATCACCACGCCCCTAACATTCTTCCAATTTATTACCAATATCCGGTTATTGACACGCCACAATAATCCTACGAGGAAATATACCCCTCCCATTCTACAGATACCAAAACGAAGCACAGAGATTTTAAAGGTTTCAAAACTAGTCAGTGGGCGAGCTGGCATTCCATGGCAGTTCAGTCACTGCCCACCCCACCACACACTCCCTCCGTGCTTCTGCCATGCTGGCCCTTTCTCAATTCGAGTTTCCAAGAGTTTCTGTACCCCTCCATCCTGTCCGGGGCCCTACCCCACCTTTCTTCCCCTTGAGCTGCATCTCTGGTTCCTCCATAGCGACGGCAGATAGCCGAAACAGAGAACAGGAACAGGAAGTCCAGAGGCTGGGACTTCTGCTTAAACTTTCCCTGCGGAAACCGGACGCGGCAGGCCTCCAGTTCCGGCTTGCCCTGCCTGTTCCTCCTCCTCCAGGGACAGGAGAGGGGCTTAAAGTGAGAGATTAAGGGGAAAGAGGTGCCCTGAGGGCGGTTGAGGGGGAAGAGATACCCCTGAGACACCAGGTGGAGAGGCAAGAACTCTCAATTCCCAAACCCCCTTTGCCCACAGCAGTCGAGTTGTAAGAAAAACACCTCGCATCGCCCACTTAGGACATAAAAATGCCCTCCTTTCCCCCGCCTACTGCCACTAAGTCCCTCCCTGCACAAGTTCATAAGTTCCTAGCAATACAGAAAGGACGGTGTTATGAAAGGAGACAACAGAACTAAGTCGTCCCTTTAAATTTCAGACGCCCCGCCCTCTTCTCCCCACCCCTCCGCCTTAAGAAAGCTCCGCCTGTCGATTCGTACTGGAGCCGATTGGTTTCTTGTGGAAAAGTCTGTGGGCGGAGCTGGGAATGAGGAAACACAAGCGCAATGAATTTTTCAGAGATCTCTGAGGCCCCGCCCTCCGCGCCCGGCCAAACTGCTGTGCAGAGAACGCGCAGGCGCAACTGCGCCGGTTAGGCACCGGCGGAAGCCACGCCCCTCCCCCAAGTCTTAAAGGGCTAGAAGGGTCTCCTGCTGCTCCGGCTCTTTCGCACTTTTGGGGGGCGGGGGTGCGCAGGCGCAGTGGGGGAGTATTGAGGTGGGGGTAGCAGTCGCGTATCAAGTTGCGCACTGTCCGGACAGAGAAAGCCCGATCGTTGAGGGTCCAGATTCCAACCTGCTCCCCGCTACATCCATTGAAGAATAAAAGTTTATGAATTGGGTCCCCAAGTTTTGGGGGACCCGTGCTTGCTGCGCTGGGGGACAGAGTTGGTGAGTGGGAGGTGAGTGGACCTTCCGGATCGGTTTGAGAGGCGCCGGTGGGACTGGAAACAATCGCATCTTTTGTTGAGCCCTAACTCATTTCGGGGGACCCCCACCAAACAACCAGAGGGAATGTTTATTGAGCTCTAGCCGCATCAGGCGTTCTACTGTGCTATTTATGGGCATGATTTCTTTTAGGCCTCATTCCTTCCTTTTATTGAGGAGGAAACTGAGGCTCAGCAAGGTTAAATCACATGCCCTAGTTTTCAGCCAGTGAGGGCGGGGGGTGGATTAGAACCCTGACAGCTGATTTCAGAGCCCAGGCATTAAAGCATGGATGTTGCAGGTGTCTTGATGGTGGGGAAGAGTGGACTTATAAAAGTAGCTGGACTCTGATTTTAAAATCCCAACACTGGCCATGATCCTGAATCTCAGTTTAGCCACCCTATAAGTGACTACTTAATTAAAGTTGCTGCTAATTACCTATTCCCTTCTAGCGGTTCCACCAGCTTTCCCTATGGATCCCACCCAGCCTGCAGAGGACCTCATTCTGACCCAGCAGTCTCCCACCCCAGAACTTGGGGACCCTGAAGACCATGGTGTTGAAACCCCGGATGGCTCAGACACTGTAGTCCTTAGCCTCTTCCCCTGCACCCCAGAGCCTGAAGCAGATGCCAGTGTCTGTTCACTACAGGGTAAGATAGCACCTCTGGAATTGGCTCCCTGGGATTTGATGATGGTGGGATGTTGAGCCCCAGATGAAACTTCTGTCTTTGTGACCCACTACTTAGGACATCTTCTCTCTTTCCTCCACCCCCCAAGAGTGGTTTATTTGTTTTTTACAACTTTGTTTTCTGGGGTTTTGTTTTTGTTTTGGTACTGGGAATTAAATCCAGGGGTGCTCCTCCACTGAGCTACATGCCCAGTCCTTTTTATTATTTATTTTGAGACAGGGTCTTACTAAGTTGCCCAGGCTGGCTTCAGACTTTGCTCTTCCTGCCTCGGCCTCCCAAGTAGCCAGATTGCAGGTGTGTGCCCAGCTCTTACATTTTGTTAATGTGGTAAAATATACATAACCTGAAATTTACTGTTAGAATCAAAATTGCAATACAATTCAGTGACATTTAGCACATTCACAATGTTGTGCAACCATCATCTCTATCTAGTTCCAGAATATTTTCATCACCCCAATAGGAAACCCTGTTCTCATGACCAGTCACTCCTTATTTCCCCTCCCTCAGCCCCTGACAATCAATTATTTGCTTTCTATCTCTATGGATTTGCCTGTTCTGATTGTCTTTATTAATGAAATTGTACACTAGATGGCCTTTTGTGTGTGGTTTCTTTCATTCATCATGTACTCATTTGTTGTAACATGTTATAACATGGATCACAGGATCAGGCCTTGATTCCTGTTCATGGCTGAATACTACTCCATTACTATTCTCTGACTTCAAGCCTCCTGAGTTGCTGGTATTGCGGGTGTGCACCACTGCACCTGTGGGGCCACCTTTTGTTTATCCATCATCCATTGGTTGACACCTGGGTTGTTCCCCTTTTGACTACTGTGAATCTTTCTGTTACAAACGTTGGTGTACCAGTGCTTGTTTGAACACCTGTTTTCAGCTCTTTGGCATGGATATGTAAGCATGGAATTTGAGGTCAAATGGTGACCCTGTTTAACTTACTGAGAAACTGAGGGTTACTTTTTAAGTGAAGTCCTTGAAAGAATTTAATTTTTCCCATCCCAGGATCTTTGTGTGGGAATGCTTTCCCCAACATTCGCCTAATGCTAGTTTCTTGGACTTGCCAGGATGTGACTTGGCATCAACCTGGAGCCACCACCCTCAACCATTTTGCCTGAAATGGACCCACCTCCTGCCTCCTCCTTTCTAGCTCCTTTTATTGACTTTTTATTTCTTCTGATAACTTATTTCAACTTGCAGCTTTATTCTGCTCCATTTATTCTACTTCTCTATGTCTGATGCTCTTGCCTGTGGGCTCATTGAATGCAGGGACTTTGTTTTGTGAGCTGAGAACATCACCAGGCCTGGAGAACAAAAATGAACCTGGGTGCCCAAGGGGGTGGATTGAGGAACCCGTAGAGTCTCAGGCACAAATTTTGGTAGATATGAGCCTCGAGGATCTGTCTGGAAGCCCCAGTGACATGTACCAAGGGGAACCTGGGACCCTTCCTCTCTCCCAACAGGCAGCTCCCTGAAGCACTCTACGACCCTCACCAACCGGCAGCGAGGGAATGAGGTCTCGGCCCTGCCAGCCACCCTAGACTGTGAGTAGGGCCCTAGGATGGTGGGAGGAGCTGAGAGGAGCCATTTTGAATGGGTAAGCTGAGGTGCTGAGAGGCCATGGATTAAGAGAGGACTCTGCCTCTTTCTGGCCCCCAGCCCTGTCCATCCACCAGCTTGCTGCCCAGGGGGAGCTCAGCCAACTGAAGGAACACCTGAGGAAAGGTGCGTGTCCACACACATGTGCTGGCCTGTTTGGTGCGTGCACGTGGGCTCTGCATGCCCACTCACAGTGATGATGGCCGTGAGTGCCCGCACGTGTGCCTGTGTCCACACGTGCATGTGAGTATGTCATGTGTGTGCATCCACATGTGTTTAACTCCCTGCCACGTCCGACCCCAGGCCCTGTCTTATCCCTACTCTGGTGACATTGGGGAGAGAGGGCAGGGGTGCAATCCGGTGATACCACTCCCACCTGCCAGGTGACAACCTCATCAACAAGCCGGATGAGCGTGGCTTCACTCCCCTCATCTGGGCTTCTGCCTTTGGAGAGATCGAGACCGTCCGCTTCTTGCTCGAGTGGGTGCGTCTCAGCCTAGTTGGGGGCTTCCTGGGGACCTGAGGGCTGGCAGAAGTTTCAGCTTCTTCTTCTGGTTTCCTGTCCATGAGATGGGGCTGCTCTGTTGGGGGACCCTAGGATCCCAGGGAATGTCCCCATGTCTCCCATCACTACCCACTCTGCTCCCCCGCAGGGTGCCGACCCCCACATCCTTGCCAAGGAGCGGGAGAGTGCCCTGTCACTGGCCAGCATGGGTGGATACACGGACATTGTGGGGCTGTTGCTCGAGCGTGACGTGGACATCAACATCTATGACTGGGTGAGGTGCCACCCACCCAGGCCCCTCAGGGCTGCTTGACCTCCATTTCTGCCCTCTAATATTTATGGAGCACCTGGAAGGTTCTGGGTCTGCTCTGGGTGCTAGGAACACAAAAACAGACTCACTCTCACACTTTGTGTAGCTCCCAGTCTGGGGAAGACAGACACATAAACAGGTAATGGAGAGATAATGAATAGTACTGTGAAGGCAGGCACACAGGCAGCCCCAGGAACCCAAAGGTGGCCAAGGCGGGTCAGGGAGGGCTTCATGGAGGAAGGGATATCTAAATTGAGAAACAGAAGAGGAGAAAGATGGGTGAGGTGATGAGCAGGAAGAGATACCATATTCAATTGGAAGCCAGAGATTTTGAGGCATGGTGAGGAGTGGGAAAAGATAGAGCATTAGTTTCTCTGTGCCTTCACCCCCCGACAGAATGGAGGGACTCCACTGCTGTACGCTGTGCGTGGGAACCACGTGAAGTGTGTTGAGGCCTTGCTGGGTAAGTAAAAGTAGAGACCAGCCCAGGAGGCCCCAGGTCCCCATCTGGCCCTGTGAGAACCCTGAGCTCTTGCATGGCTTGTCACGACCTGCTTTACTTGGAGGTGGATTTGGAGCAGGAGGTGGTAGGAGAGCATGGGGGTCTGGGTCTGACTGAGTCGAGCCCCTGCTCTCTGAGCCTCAGGGACTCCAGAGCCATAGTCTTTGGAGGCTTGAAGAGGCCAGGCCCTTGTCCAAGGTCATGCAGGCAATGGGCAAACGCATGGCTGTACCATGAGGCATCTCCACTGGCCCTTTTGAGTCCCCAAGTCCCATTCTGGGCTTCTAGCCCCAGGCCCAGCCCTACCCCAATGTCTGCTCTGCTTTGCAGCCCGGGGTGCTGATCTCACCACTGAGGCAGACTCTGGCTACACCCCTATGGACCTCGCCGTGGCTCTGGGATACCGGAAAGGTAGGCCTGAGACATGGGGTAGTGGTGAGGACTCATAGGTGGGTGACCACAAACGGATACATGGGACATCTCCCTCACTTGGTAGATGCCGGCAGCAAGTGTGTTCATGTTAGCAGACATGGAGCACCACTGTGTACCTGGCCCGAGCACATCCTGGCTCTCGGTGCTGTCACGTGAGAGGATAGACACACCAGTGCATATCAGTGACCAGAGCCATGAGGGGGAGCATAGGCACCGAGAAGCCCAAAGGAGGCCCCAACCCAGCCTTGATGGGTATCTATCTTAATGTCTTAGTCCATTTTCTGTTGCTATAACAGAATATCTAAGACTGGGTAATATATAATATAAAGAAAAAGAGACATTCTGGCTCATGGTTCTGGAAAACCCAAGATTGGGTGCCCACATCTGGTGAGGGCCTCGTATTGCTGCACCTCAGTGGAAAGTAGAAGGGCAGCGTGTGTGTGTGTGTGTGTGTGTGTGTGTGTAAGAAGCAAAACATGAAGGACAGTCTTGCTTTAAAATTTAAAACAACCTGTTCTCACAGTAAACAACCCAGTCCCATGACAGTGAGAAAGGCATTGATCCATTCATGAAGGTTCTGCCCCCACAACCCAAATACCTCCTAATAGGCCCCACCTCCCAACACCACTGCATTGGGACCAAGCCTCAAAGTGTATTTACTAGAGACAGCAGATCCCAAGTTTCAGCTTATGCACGCGTGCCTGTGCATGTGGGTGCGCTTGTGCACACAGGCCACACACCAAACAGCAAGGTGGTCAGGGTGGGCTTCTGGGGGACTTTAGAAGGACTTCACTGCGTCCAAGTAAGAGAAGGATATAGAAGCTTACCAGGGCCAGAACACCAAGAGGGAATTGGGCCGGGCCACAGTGCATGGGGCTATGGAGCCCGGTCCTGTCCATGGCAGGAGGTAGGTATGAGCAGGGGCCATAAGCAAACCCAAGTTTGACATGGGAACATCCTGACCACCCATCCTCTTGGTTGGTGGAGGATGGGCTCAGGAAATATCCTACCTCCCTTTGGAGAGTTTTATTCTATGTGAGACGGAAATCATCCCTCACAGACCCTATATTATTTTCATGAAAATCACAACTCACCCATTTTGTTTGGTAAGAAGTCTTTTATAACTCCAAAAGGCTCAAGAAATGCATTACAAGGCCAGCCTGGGCAACTTAGTGAGACCCTGTCTCAAAAATAAGAAGGGATGGGGCTGTAGCTCAGAGTGCCCCTGGGTCTGATTCCTGGTACCACAAGGGGGCAGGGAACGCATTTCTAAGGCCTGGAGTGAGGCTCCGTGGTAGAGCACTTGCCTGTCCCATGAGGCCCTGAGTTTCATCCCCAGCACTGAAGAAAGAAATAGAAGGGAGGAAGGAAGAAAGGAAGGGAATTTTTACAAACTCAGGGGAAGTTGATGTTTCTGGGAGGAGGCCTTGACCCTGCCACTCTTGCTCTGGGAGGGGCACGGACCCTGTTGTCTGTATAGGGGGTCTTCCATCCAGGCCCCAGGGCTGTAAAGCCCTGGCTCATCCCCAGGGCAACGGTGCAGGTTGGGATGGTGCCTGTTGGCTCTACAGCTTCCTTTCCAGCGGCTACCTTTTCCCCACCCATCTCCAGTGCAACAGGTAATCGAGAACCACATCCTCAAACTGTTCCACAGCAACCTGGGGCCCACTGACCCGGAGTGAAGGCTGCCTGTTGGGGACACAGACACTCAGGGAACCAAATGGTCGACCCAGAGCTGGGAGAACCCAGAACTGGCTTCAAAGGCAGCTCCTGGACAGGAAGTGGGAGGGGACCCTTCCCAAGAGGAACCAATAAACCTTCTGTGCAGAAATTAAAGGACTTTGCTGTGATTCCCTGAGGGCTTCCTTGAGAGGTGTCCTCCCCATCCCCAGAGGTCTCAGACCTTCTTCTCCCCCAGCACTCTCAAGTGGTAGATGACCACGCGGCCAAAAAAGTCAGTGGTGTCTTCAAATGTCACCTTCAAGCGGTCCACCTCAGCAGCCGGCACAGAGAATGTTTAAGCACAAGCAGTCAAGAGAAATGGTGGCACTTTGTTTCCCACCCTCCATCCCTACCTTTCCCAAACCCAGCTCAGACCCCATCAGTGTGCTAGGTGACCCTAGCAAGGTGTGAACCCCTCTGAGCATCACACAGAGCAGACCCATTTTCCAGATTATGCAGTGGAGACCCGGAGGTCACTTTTCAAAATATGGCAAGTTTCCACTCAGGTCTAGGTGGGCTCAAAGCTTTTAGAGGCACAGATCCTCCCACCCCAGAGGCCAGGGCAGGATATCTGAAGGGAATTGTTGTCCTCGGGGTAGAAGTCCACAATGTTGTGGAGGGCCTCACTCCCCTGTGACCCTGCAGCAGAGAAAGGTGCATACAGTGAGTACAGGATATCCCCCCTGGAGTCCCCACCTCCCAGGACCTTCTAGTACCTTCCAGGCGGCCCCGGCGACTGGAGAAGCCCCCCTGGAACTGGATCTGCAGCTGGGAGACACAGATGCGCTGGGGAAATTCCAGTGTCACCCACTGGCAGGGGCCCTAAAAACAGATGGGAAAACTGAGGCCCACGATCACTCCTCGATGGGAGCCTGGCTATATGCCTGACTCACACAGTGGGGAGACGGGAAAGTCAGCACATAGTCCTTCCCTGCCCACCTCGGGTTCCCCCAAGTTCTCAAGGCACTCTGGACCTCTGCACCTCACCTGGTCCGAGTTCCAGCACGTCTCTTCGTCTTGGTCAAAAAGATACTTCTTTCCAAACTGCCGGCTGTTGCGATTCAGCACGGAACTCACCCTCGGAGGCACCAGGTCGATGAACAGTTAAGCCCAGTTCTAGGCGCCACCGCCCCCCGCCCACGGAGCCCGAGCCCGCCCCCTCCCTGCCACAGGTCCTTCCGCCACCCTAGTGCCCACTACCCCTGGACTCGCCATCAGGGCTCTCGGGCTCTCACCTGCTCACTGTCTCCGGACAAACCAAAGAGTGGGTCATCTTGGTTCTCCAGGGCCTCGCGAAACCCAAGGCTGGACTCTGCTGGACTCGGGTCCAAATCCCGGCGCCACCTCAGCCACAGGCGGCGTCACCTAGGCTACACCCCTAGTTTGCAGGTCCTCGAGTAACTAGGGACCAAGAACAGCCACTCTCTCTCACGCCCAAGTCCTAAATGTCGCCTCGATCACCCCCTTGCTGGAAAAATTGGAGGCTCGGGGAAGATGCCGGTGGCCGGGGACCCGGCCTTTCACAGCGGATCCAAGGAAAGGAAACAGGTCCCCTCGGGGTTTGGGGAGCGCACCTCCCCGTCTGAGCCTCACTTTCCCGGTCAGTAGTAGCTTCAGGAGGAACCAGAGACCCGGACCAGGAACCGCGTGGGCATAGCGCATGCGCAGTGTGACTTGGGCTCCGCCCAGCCACTGCTCCTGGGGCGGGGCGGGGCTGGACGCTGGCCCCTTGGTGACCGCCTTTTAAAGGGCTCTCGCCCTGTGGTTGAGGTTCTCCTTGGATTTGGAGGAATGCAAGTTGTGTGTCACCTGGCACCATTTCTTGGTGAAAATGCCGGCTATAAAGTATTGGTTTTTCAAATCCCACAAACTTCCTATAATCATGTCTTCCTACTGGGGGAGTCTGCTAACCTCCAATGCAGGCTGGGAACCCCTGCACCTCACTGACTCTGAGAGGCCAATGGAAGAATTGAGGAAGAGACTATGATGTTGGGAGCATCAGTCGTTCCCATCAACCCCATGTGTCCTGAGATGCAAGAGACCTCGCCTCCAAATCTGTCTTTCCGGCAAATGCTTCTGAGGAAGGCTTCTTGAAGAAATGGTCATGTAAGGCGGGTTTTGAAGGATAAATAGGAGTTTGCTAGGTCAGATTACACAAAGCCTCAGATACCAGGCCAAAAATTTAGTTCACTGATTCACTGGTTGACTCCTGTCACCATATACTGCCATTCCTGTGCCCACCCCTGTCCTGAGTGACGCTGGAGATGATGAGAGGCCTCAGCTTTAGCCTCATCCCTAAAGAGCCCCACCTGGGCACAACACAGATACTCCCAGACCTATGGGGTCAGGGCTGAGCCACAGGAAGGGACAGAGGTGGGGAAGCAGGGAGTCCACCTAAAAGAAGCTTCCTGGGAGGGGGGATCTGGGATGGAGAGGGTGATTCAGGCAGGGGAAAGCAGAAGGAAAGGCCTGGTTGGATTAAGACCATGGATTTGAATAAAATACGTGGAGCCATATCCTGCTGGGCCTGGAGCAGTGTTTGGGAAAGGGCATGACTCCATCCAGTCTACACAAATGGAGGCTTCCAAGACAGGGCAGCCACTGGCAGGGGACTCTTGTCCCTAGCTTTAGCTGAATGGTCTGGGATCCAGCCCCTTTCTTCAAGGGAGTGGGGGATGGTCCCCTGGCATCCTACTAGCGTCTCCCAAGCACATCTCAGGAGCCGGGGCTGGCAGGGAAACTGGGTCACCAGCGGAAGGGCTGTCCCATCAGTCCCTGACCGCCAGGACTTCCTGCATTCTGTTGTGGTCTGGTGCCAGACCCAGCTTTGCTGTTCTCAGGGCTGAGGTTGGAGATGGCAGGAAACATCCCCACTCTCGTCAGAAATTAGGAAGATCTTGGACCCTGGAGAGCCCAGATCTACTTAAAATCTTGGCTGGACTATTCACCAGCTGTGTGACCTTAGACAAACATCTCTACCTCTCTGAGCCTCAGTTCCCTCATCTGTGAAGGGGGAAAATTCTGTTCATAGGCCTGTTGGAGGATACAGTAGAATCCTTGGGTTGACATATAACAACGGTGGATGACACTTGGTGAGACCCCACTGTGTTTTTCGTCTCCACCCATTGGCTCATTAAACCGCAATTGGTTGATCTGTGTCACTCTCATTTTATAGCAGGGGACACAGCAACTTGACCAAGATTCCCCTGTGAGGATATGCATAGCCCCAGGGCCCTCCATATCACTCCTGGGCTTGGCATAGAGCCACCTTGGCCACTGGGATGAGGCCAGCTCCTTACTCGCTTCCCGCCTCCTCACCCCACTGGCGCCTAAGCATGAAAGAGCCTCCTGTTCCTCTAGGGAATTAGCAGCTCTGAGTTTCCAGCAAGACAGCCAAAAGTGGTCCATTCATTCGCCTTAGTGAGGCTGACTAAGAGCTCCCTCCCCACTCCTCCCACCCCAGGGGATGAGGCCGGGAGAGTGCTAGGGGAGCCGGTCCTGCTCCTCTGGCTCTCTAAGGGAAACTGAGTCACCTAAAAGCAAAGTTATTTGGCCAAGATCATCCAGGGAGACAATCCCCAGTCTGACTCTGGAGTTCCCTCTAGTGGACTGAGTTCTGCATTTTTCAGGGGAGGAATTGAAGCTCCGAGAGAGTCCAGGATTTGCTGAAGCCACCCAGCAAATTTGGGTCGGCAGGGCTCTATCTGTGTCACTGCTTCTGAGGAGGCACTGAGGACCCACTAGGAAACAGGTCCCACTCTCCATGAGTCTGTCATCCTGGAGCAGGGCAGGAAAGGCTCTCGGATGGTTCCAAACCTTGGTTCCCCCTGGGAAAGGGACTTAAATGACAGTGGGAGAAGGGGTGGCTGGATGTGAAGGAACCTAGGTGGGCATGTGTGGGAACACTGGGTCTGCGTGTGAGACAGCACCTGAGGACTCTGGATCATGGTGTTGGTGACCTTGGTGCAAAGTGAACATGGTCATGGGCTAGCTGCCTGTGGGTGGGCCCGTGGCTGTAAACATGGCCCCATATGAGCAGTGTGGTCCAGGTGCAAAGGGACTCTCGGTCCCCGGCTCACATCTGTGACCTGTGTGTGTACAAGGGTGGTTGTGTGTGGCTGTTGCCAAGTGAAATTGTATGTGAACTGATTTGCTGTTGGTGTGACTGTGTGTCAGTGGAGGTTGGTGACATTGTCTGTGACTTGTCCCTGTGTCACCTTGGGGATGTTCTGAAGCACTTTGCGGGATACTGTTCACTCCTGAGACCAGCTCTCCAGGAGGGTCCAGCCTCCTTCCCAGACTCTGCTTTAGCCCACCCCGTCCCCTCCACCACCTCATCTCATTGGCAGCGGCCCCTGGCCCAGAGCCCCCACTGGGGGGGGGGCGCGGGCGGGCAGAGAAGGCACTCAGGGATGGGGGTGGAGGGCACTTGGCCAATCCCAGAACAGGCCTATAAATAGCTCTTTGAGCCCAGCAGGTTCCCAGGCAAGGTTGCTTCATTCAAGACCCCAGCAACAGGCCACCCCGGGCCCCAGGCCAGCCTCCCTCGGCTCAGCCCTGGCGCCCTGGCACCAGCGGGGGTGGGGGTGGGAGGGGGAGTACAGGAGCAGGGGGGGTCAGCTTAGCACTGTGGCCATCAATCTGGGCTCCCACCTGGTCCCTACCCACGCTGTCCAACCTCAGGCACATGATTTTGTCTCCCTGAGCCTCAGTTTCCCCAGCAGCCTCCAAAATGAACAGCAACAAGACATCAGCCCCTGTGCGGGCATTTCCTTCCCATTTCTGTCTCCTAGCAACCCAGAAGATTGGAACTGTCAATCATTCCCAATTTAGGTGGGGAAACTGAGGCACAGAACGAAGCGATGGCTTGCCCAGGATCTCACTCTTACCAGCTGCAGGGAGGGGGCTTGAACCTGGACTTGGGCAGGTGGAGCTCACTTAGTTCCCATACAGGACACATGGCTCTCAGCCCCACAGCGCCAGCCACAGCCTCCTCCCTCTCACTGGCCTCCCCAACCAGGCAGCACATGCCATTTGGGTGCTGGTGACACTGCTGTCACCCACAGACATTCACATCAGCTATGATCCCTAACCTCCATCTCTCCTCTGTGACATAGCCGCTCCTTGGTGTGTCGCCTTGGCCTTCCGGGCTGCCCCTTGCTCACCTGGGCTCTCCCCTCATCTCTCAAATGTTCCATTCCCCTCTTTGATAATCTGGAGGAAATGATTTTGCCCCTTTTTCTGTCTGAGACTCACTCTGAGAAATGCTCAAAGACACACACACCGATGTAGGTAGGACAGGGGACCGAGGACCAGGAGGCTCTGCCAGCACAGCCTATCACAGCTGAAACACAAGGACCACGGGAAGGAAGGCAGGGCAGGTGCCTCCTCCCCATCTGCTTTTTATTGTGGTAAAATTTACATAACATTTACCTTTTTTGTTTGTTTGTTTTGGGTGCTGAGGATTGAACCCACAGTATCACTCTACCATTGAGCTACACTCCCCAGGTCAAATTTATCATTTTAAACTACAATTCAACTGGACATGGTGGCTACACAAGAAGCTGAGACAGGAGGTCTGAAAGTTAGAGGCCAGCCTCAGCAACTAAGCAAGACCCTGTCTCTGAAAAAAATAAAAAGGTTAAAAAAAAAAGGGCTGTGGCTAAGTGGTAGAGAGCTTGCCTAGCATGTGTGCGGCACTAGGTTCAATTCACAGCAGCACATATAAATAAGTAAAATAAAGGTCCATCGACAACCAGGAAAAAAATATTAAAAAAAAAAAAAAAGGTCTGGGAATGTAGCTTAATGGTAGAGCATCCCTAGGTTCAATCCCCAGTACCACACAATCAATCAATCAATAAATAGTGTATGACTCAGTGGGATTAAATACATTTACATTATTGTGCAACCAAGGTTCATCCACATTGTGACATGGTTCAGAGATGCATTCTTTTTTATGATTGAGTAATATTCCATTGTTTAGATCTAAGCTTTATTTTCATTTTTTTGACAGTGCTGGGGATAGAATCTAAGGCCTCCCATGTGCTAAGCAAATGCTCCACCACTGAGCTACACCCAGTCTTGGATCTAAGTTTTTAAAGATTAGAGTCTTCTGTCAAGGGCACCCATTTGCCCCTTCCCTAAGCATAAATATTTCTGTGCTAGCAACATTCATAGTATTCGCTATATAGATGCTGACCGGTTAAAGGTAAATTAAGAATGAACGGTACAGTTTGGCTAGAGCAACTCTGAGGTGTGATACATCCGGGCTCTGACATGCCAGGTCTCTATCAGCTGCACGACCAACTAGTCTCCCCCTCCTCTCTGAGCCTTGCTTCCTCTCTATAAATGTGCAAAACAGTAATTATAGCCAAAACTGCTTCTAGCATGAGCCGCCGCGAGTTAGGCTGACCAAGATTCAAATTCCAACTCTGTCCTTCCTCTCTGTGTGACCTTGGGAAGCAACTTTACCTCCCTGGGGCTCAGTTTCCCCACCTGTAAAATGGGGCACGTCCCATCACGGGGTTTGGCTGGGGTCACATGAGGGGGGTCCTGAGGCAAAAAGAATGGGGGGAAGTCAGGTGCAGCCTTCCCCCAGGTGGGGTGAGTGTTAGAAAAATGCATGGGGGATTTTAAGCAGAGGGAGCCCCCA